GAGATGGAAACGCGTTTGGGTTCAGGGCTTGCGGGATCCGCCATGTGTATTGCAGGCGGTATGGCGTTGCGACTCCAGCTCGCGCGGATCTTTGCCCGTCGTTTCCCGCTCTTCGGGTGTGTTTCCGGTCTCCCAGGACTGACTTTAAGTCGGGCACGTCCCTCTACAGGAGGAAAATTCAAAAGTGGTCCAAAGAATAGTCTGGGGGACGATTTTTTTTACTATGCTGGACAAGGTTGGTGTATTTTGTTGACTAATTTTAATTTACGTCCAAGACCGGCCTGTAGGAGGACATGCCCGTTTGGCACGCTCTCTGCTCCTCCCCTCTCCCTCCGACTTAGAAGGGCGATGCCGCTCGCGGGCCGCATGGTGTTCTCATTTGGGCAAATCTGCCGTCGGCCGCAGAAGGCCGTCTTTCCAGCGGCAGCCGCTGGGAGTCGCCCCGTACGCATCCGAGGGCTACCCACTTCTGCCGCCTTGTCCTGTCTTGAACCTCCTCCTCTTCCTCCTCCTCCTCCTCGTCCTCCTCCTCCTCCTCCTCCTCCTTTTCCTCCTCCTCCTCCTCCTCCTCCTCCTCCTCCTCCCCCTCCTCCTCCTCTCCTCCTCCGCCTCCTCCTTTCCTCCTCCTCCTCCTCCTCCTCCTCCTCCTCCTCCCCCTCCTCCTCCTCCTCCTCCTCCTCCTCCTCCTCCTCCTCCTCCTCCTCCTGCTCCTCTCCCCTCCTCGTCCTCCTCCCCCTCCTCCTCCTCCTCATCATCATCCTCCTCCTCCTTCTCCTTCTCCTCCTCCTCCTCCTCCTTCTCCTCATCATCCCGCTTCTTCTCCGCCCTCCTCTCTCTCCCCCTCTTCCTCCTTTCCCTCCTTTCCCTCCGCCTCCTCCTCTTCTTCCTCCTCCTCCTCCTCCTCCTCCTCCTCCTCCGCCCCATCCTCCTCCTCATTCTTTATCCTCACCCTCCTCAATCCCTCCGCTCATCCTATCCCCGCCCTCCTGCTCCTCTCCTCATCTGGCTTCGGCGCAGACGGCGGAATTGTCGGCGACGCCGACGGTGCCGACGCTGGCGGCGCCTGCGGCGACGACGCCGACGACGCTGACGAGGATGGCGCGGACGCCAGCGGCGACGACGTCGTCGGCGGCGCACTCGCCGCAGCCGCTGGCGACTCCGCCCCCGCGCCCGCCAGCAGCAGCGCCGTGCGCGCGGCGGCCGCGGCGTCGCTGGGGAGGCTGGGCAGCGGCAGCCAGAGCGGGGCGGCGGGGCCCGCGGCGTCGGCGCCGAGGGCGCACGAAGAAGCCGCCGCCGCGCGTCGTCGCCGGAGCCGTCGGAAGCCTGCGCGGGCGGGTCGTTTTCGCCGGGCGTCGCGGTCGCACCACGGAAGCGCGCCACTCGGCAAGCGGCAGACAAAACCGCTCACCAGCTTCGGAAACGTCGGAGACATCGTCGCCGCCACAGTCGCCGCCGGCGTTCGCCCGTCGTCGTCAGCCGTCGTGGGCCATCGTTGCCTTGATTCCCTATATCCTGAGATGGGCTCTTGCCATCACATAGACGCCGACGACCCCTTGGCACCGTCCCTTCCTCGTCCGACTCCCCTTTCTGCTCATACCCAGACCCACTCACGCTCAGATTCACTCAACTAAGAGTCACTCACACTCACACTTCCTCACACTCAGACTCACTCGGGCCCAGCAAGACCCACTCGCACGCAGGCTCAATCAGACTCAGGCTCATCCATACTTAGACTCACTCCCGGTCCGACTTACTCACACATAGACTCAATCACAGTCTTACGCACCCCCACTCAGACTCAATCACAATCATATTCAATCGTACTCACACTCGGTCACACTCAGCCTCACTCAGCCTCATACTCATACCCACTCATCCTTATTATATATCCCACGCAGGCTCGCAGAGTGCGAGAATTTCTCAGGCGAGGCGCTGGTTTTAGCACTCCCAAGGGGCAGCCGCCAGGGCGTTCTCGTTGGCCCGTTCGCCCCCAGATTGTGGGGATCTATCAAGCGGTTTGTTTGTATGGGTGTTTAGACTCGTCTGCTTTCAGAGCATATTGTGAGGATGTCTCGAGCGAGGCGCTGGTTTCAGCACTACCAAGGGCCCAGAGGGGAGCCGCCACGGTGTTTTCACTGGCCCGTTCTCGCCGAGATTGTGGGGAGGTCTTCAGCGGTTCATTTTTTCAGAGCAGATTGTGAGGATGCCTCAAATGATGCGCTGGCCTCAGCACCCCAAGGGGCTTAGATTGTGGGATGTCCCAGGGGGCTTGCCTGTTTGGTGGTTTGGGTGGTTTGGACCCCTCGGCTTTCAGGGCAGATTGCGAGGACGTCTCCGGCGAGGCCCTGGCTTCAGCGCCCCAAGGGGCCCAGTGTGTGGGGATGTTTCGAGCGGTTTGCTTGCTTGGTGGGCGAGAGCCCTGTGCTTTCAGAGCAGATGGCGAGGATGTCTCGAGCGGGGCGCTGGCCTCAGGACCCCAACGGGGGAGCCGCCCGCGGCCCGGTCGCGCCCAGATTGTGGGGACGTCTCGACGGGTTTGCTTGTTTCGCGGCTTGACTTCCTCGGCTTTCAGAGCAGAAGGAGGAGGAGGATAGGAGGAGGAGGAGGAGGAGGAGAGGAGGAGGAGGAGGAGGAGGAGGAGGAGGAGGAGGAGGAGGACGGGGAGGAGGAGGAGGAGGAGGAGGAGGAGGAGGAGGAGGAGGAGGAGGAGGAGGAGGAGGAGGAGTGTGAGGATGTCTCGAACGAGGTGCTGGCTGCAGCACCCCAACTGGGAGCCGCCAGGGGATGGCTGCACTCGCCTGTTCGCGGCCAACGTGTGGGGGTGTCTCGTTCGAGGGGCTCGTTTTGCATGTCCGCATCCTATCCATTCGGAGTCCGATGATCATTTCGAATATATGGAGCAGGACGGCCGTCAGGGAGGAGGAAGACGGAAGAAGACACGAGGAGAAGGAGAACGGAGAAAAGAGGCAGAGAAGAGATGGGCCAAGACGAGAAGGAAGAGGAATAACAGAGAAAAAGGCCGCCAGGGAGGAGGACACCTGCCAGGGAGGAGAAAGGAGGAGCGAGGACAGAGGGATAGGGAAGCGAGGACGAGGAGGCGGAAGGAAGATCACGCAGGAGGACAGAGAAGGACGGCCGCTAGGGAGGAGGAGGAGGAGGAGGAGGAGGAGGAGGAGGAGAGAGGACGCAGGGGGGGGAGGAGAACGCAGGATGAAGGAAATGGAAGGAGGGAGGTAGAGAAGGGAGGGGCTACGAGTCGCCGTCGTCGGCGCATCCGCCGTCCAATATTCGGATTCACGCTCGCAACCAGGCGCTCACAGCCAGACGCTCACAACGGGACGTGCCAGAACACGAGATGCACATCTGAGCATCTCTGCGTCGAGTAATCTCGTCGTCGTGCGTCGCCGACGTCGTGGCTGCCGTCGTCCGCCGCCGCCGTCGTCGTCGTGCGTCGTCGTCCGTCACTGTTGCCCACCGTCATCTGCGTTCGTCGCCGTCGTTCGTCGCCGTCGTTCGTCGTCGTCGTCGTCGTCGTCGTCGTCGTCGTCGTCGTCGTCGTCGTCGTCGTCGTCGTCGTCGTCGTCGTCGTCGTCGACGGGGGCCTGGGCGGAAGCAGGCAGCAGAGGGCCTCAGGGCGGCATCCCCCCCCCCCCCTTCCGAGGAGCCGGGTTGATTTGGGGAGCGCCCCTCCCCCCCCGCGAGGCCCGAGGATCGAGGCTCCGCGAGCCCCCGCCCGGGCCTCCAGCGCAGCGGAAAAGTGGTACGAAAAGAGGAGAGGCTCTCGCCGTGGTCGGCCTTCGAGGTCGTCTCTCACGAGGTCCAGAGACTCTTAACACACGGCCCAGGAGCCCTCCCCGCGCCTCCTCGGCCCCGCCTGCGGGATCCCTCCCCGAGCCCCCGGCCCTCCCCGACGCCCCCGATTGCCCCGAGAAGCCCCCCCGAGGCGCTGCTCGTCGAGCCCCCCATCGATCCCTCCTCCCCGACCCCTCCCCGATTCCTCCTCGATTCCCCACGCGAGCAGGAGGAGGAGGAGGAGAACCAGTGCAAACCCAAGAATCATCAACGATGTTGCAATGACCCCCCTCCCTCCAAGCTCCTTCGTAACAGGCCCCTGCAAGGGTTCAAGTTCACCGAGGGAAGTGCTCCGAAAATCCGTTTGAAAAGCCGGAATGTTACCAGAACGCCGTTACCAGGATATCAACGCCGCGAATCACCGTTACGGTTGCATCTGGACGATTCTGAATCGCGCCAGGATACCATCTCTGGGACTTCAGAACCACGAGTCAAGGTAACTGATGCGCGCTGGCAGTCCGACATCACGACAAAACGCCATTCTTGGGACGTTAACCATGAGAATCCTTGAAACTGCTGGAAACGTTTACAAATCGTGCACGCGGCGATAAGGCGAGAGCCAAATGTTGAAAAGGAACCGCCCTCCATCCGCGAAGCTCGTACAATTTGTCATGACGAAGGTGTGCGGCGCTACGGGGAGAGCCGCATGTCGAAAGCGACCCGGCCTCCATCCGTGAAACTGCTGCACATTGCAAGATTCATGATCGTCAATGGTGAGGAAAACTCGGGCGAAACGCCCCGTCCGCCCTTTCGACTGGCCACGGGGTGCGCCAGGGAGGAGTTCTCGCAAGGACAAGGAATGGACGGAGAGGAGAAGGAGGACGAGGAGAAGGAGGGAAGAGTACGAGGAGGTGGAGAACGAAGCGAAGACAATCAGGAGCCGTTGCACACACAAGACTGCAGCACCACGAGAAACATCACGACGGGAGCCCCAGACCCCGTTTTTTCCTGCTCCATCGTCCGAGCCGGGTCGCTCCGCGGGGGTCCCAGGGCCCAGAACCAGGCGAGAGCGCCCGGTGTGCAGCAAAATTCGCCGAGCAGCGCCCCCCGAACAGCTCCCCCGAATTCCTCCCGACGCCTCCGAATCCCTCCCCCTCACATAAAGCGCCCCCGGGGGCCCCCGCGAAGCCGCCGCCGTCGCCCGCGAGGCGCTGCTGGAGCTGCTGCGGGAGCAGTCGCCCCCCGCGGGCCCCGTGCTGGCCGCCGTCGGCATGCTGGGCGCCCGGGCCACGCCCGCCGTGCCGGCGCTGGTCGGCCGCCCCCGCGCCCCTGTCGGGGGCCCGGGGCCCAGGCACGATCGCGTCGCAGAAGCATCATGGGGGCCCAAGGAATATACACCACCACGTCGATGCCTCCTCTCTCCTCTGTCCAGCGAGAGGGAGGGGGGGAGGGAGGTGGTGGTGGTGTATATTTGTGGGCCCCCCAAATCAGGGCGGGAGGTTTTTGGCCATGTTCGGTCTCAGGGGGGCCTTCGCCGGGCCTCGGGGCCGTCAGAGAACGGCTCGGGACGAAAAGCTGGCCCCTGGGAAAGGGTCGGGACTTCCGGGGATCCCGCATTGAAGAAATCGGGACGTCGCATGTCTGGGTACCGATACACCGCTGCTTTCCGGACCTCTCCCAGGGTGTGCTTTGGTCAGGATTTCGAGGTGCATTCGTCCCCGGCGACGAGAGACGTGCAACAGTATCGGTCTCTCTTCCTTCTATGGCGGCCCCCCCGAGCTCAGTGGGCCTTGGAGGCGGCAGGGTTTTGCTTGAACCGTTTCCAGGGATCTGGCCCTTGATGGTGAAGACTGGCCCGAGCCCAGACCTCCGGCTCTGTGATTCCGTGCTGGCGGTCCCTCCTCAGCTTGGGCCGCCCAGGGCCTGTCTCGAGGCCTCGGCTCGGCGGCCTCTGTCGCCCCCCGGGGGGCCTCGCGGCAGCTCGTGGGCTCTGCGCCCGTCGGTGGCCGCCGGCGCGCCGAGCGGGGGACCGCGCGCCGAGCGGGTGGCCCCAGTCCTCGCCCAGCGAGCGCGAGTCAAACAGTGATTTTTGGGCGACGTCGTGGGCCGCTTCCGTGTGGATCTCGTCTCGCGGCATAGGCGGAACGGAGACAGCAGCAAACATGGGGGGCCACATGCGAACCCTGCCTTTACCCCCCACGATTTCTGAGGGGGAGGGTGGGACTCACTTCGTTCGGGAGAACCCGAGTGAAGTGAACCCCACCCTCCCCCGCAGAAATCGTGGGGGGTAGGGGTAGGGTTCGCATGTGGCCCCCTAAAACATAACAAAAAACAAGGGGCGCCGGTCCGCGGCCGCGCCGTTCCGCTCTCTGCCTGCCGCCCCCCGTGGTTGGCCCTGCCGCCGCGCGCTTCTTCTCTTCTGCTCCCTTTTTCCCGCCGTGCGTGCCTTCGGGTCCTCCCCCTCTCCAGGCCGCGCCTGCCTTTGCTTCGCGGCGTCCCGCCGCTGCCCCACCGCTGCTGGGGCCCAGGTTCGGGGACGGCAAAGAAGGGGGTGATGACTTAGGGGGTGGGGAAGGTCATGGCGGGGGCCGTGACATCTCCCCTGATTTCATGGCGCCTCTTCTCATTGCAACGTCGGATCTCAGGGGATGAGCGAAGAGTTGGCATGGCATACACACCGACTGAGGCACAGTGGCAGCACCGCGCTGCTGCTGCTGCTGCTGCTGCTGCTGCTGCTGCTGCTGCTGCTCGCCCCACCTGCTGCGCTGCTTCCCCCCGCCCGCGCCCCCTCCGTCCTCCTGGCGCCGCCTGCGCTTCGACCCGGGGGCCGCGTTCGTTCCACCACGGGCGTCTGCGCCGGGTTTTGGGGCCCCGGGACCATCACAGACCGATCAGGTTCGAAATTGGAGTGCGTTCTCCTAAGCAGTGGCGGAACATCGCCTGCGACGCCTCCGCCGGCACGAAATTGTCACGAAACCTCTCTTGCGCAGTTCCGTTCACACGCGCTGCCATTCGAGGAAAGAGAACCCTAGAGGCTCCGAGGGTGGAAAAAAAAAGACCGATCAGGTTCGAAAACGCAGCAGAAAGATTGGGCCCAGGTGGCCCAGGGCTCAGATCGTGCCTTTGTACGATGTCGCAGGTTGTTCGCAACCTCGCATCTCAGGGCGTCCCACCACTTCCTGACGTGGATCGGACCTCAGTGGGCTCGGATCGAAGCGTCTGGGTGATGAAAAGATGTTGGCATAGCAAATAAACACCGACTTGGGCACAGTGGCCAACACATTAAGCTGCAAGCAAGTGTAGAGACAAGCAGGGCAATGAGAAATGGTGAAAGTCGATGTGCCAGCGAGAGCGCAGAGTGACTCAGCGAGCAGCCTGTGAAGGAGTAGGCACTCCTCCAGGCTCTCCTTTACCCCGATCCGGTCCTCCCGCGTCGTCACGGTCGTCCATTTGTCTTCTCACGCCTCGTCTCCCCATCCTGAGGGCCCTCCCGCCGCACGCTTTCTCTCCCCCCCCCTCCGCGTTCGTCCCTTCGCTCTTTCCCTCGTCTGCCCGCGCCGTCGCCTCACCGCTGCTTGGACCCAAGTGGCCGCTAACCAAAAACTCACCATCCTAGTCACATCCCCTCTGCGGGTGCTTGGGAGCTGTAGGTTGAACGTTCCGCCTCGTTGGCTTCATAGTTGGCCAGCGCGGGCCCCAAACAGTGGGCCATTGCGATCTCGATATGTACTACACATGGTCAGTAGATGGGATGCAGCGTGTGTGGTGCAATGTACGCGGTGCACTATGGGATGCGACGCGTGTTGTGCAATATATGTGGCGCAAGCTATGCGATACAGGCTGCTGGTTGCAATATACGGGAGGCGATCTGGGGAGTGCAAACTGCTCGTATGGGCAATTAATTATTCACATCCTCGCGTGGCCACCTCCCACGCTCGAGCAAGCATCCCACCCGCCCAGCCGCAGTGTGTAAGCAAGGCTCCTGCGAGCCGTGAGCGCAGTTGCTCCTCAGAAAATGTGTTCGAAAGTCTCAGCACGGGCAGTGGCGCGCAATGACCCTGCTCATGCACAACCAGAAGTTGGACGGGCGAGCGATGACAGCAACGACGACACCGACGACGACGATGATGATGATGGTCGTGGTGGTGGCCATGGTGACGTGGGCGGCGACATCGACGATGACGATGACGACGATGTTGACGTTGGTGATGACGTGATACCGACGACGTTCGTGATGGTGGTAGGAGAACGGCGATATTGAGGGCGATGGAAACGAGGACGTTGGCGATGATAATGACGATGGTACTGGAGAGGGTGCTGAGGAACTGGGTTCGCAAGTACTCTGACAGTGTTTAGTGCAGATCAATTGGTCATCAATTTTTCTGACTATACCATATGGCTGCATACCTGTATATACATATCTACATATCTATATGCGTATAGGTGCGTTTCAAAAAGGGCCTTGCCTTCGAAGGTCGAAGGAGTTGTCATCTCTTCCGCGGCGGAAGGCGGTGGAAGGTCGGCGGAAGTAAAACGGGGCCGCCTCCTCTGGCGGAAGCCGGCTGGCGGAAGGCCGGCGGAAGTAGAAGGTGAGTCCTTCAGAGTTGACATTTTGTTTGGGTTCCGGGTTTCCGAAATCGCCCATACATGTATATATATATGTATATGCACGGATGCGCCGACCACACATGGGCTTGCAATGTGTTGGACATGCGCACGGGGACGCGCGCGTGCGGCACGCATTGTACCATTTGGCAAAAATAAGGCAGGCGGACGCGCGATGCGTGTTTCAAGATTGGCTGACATGCGCGCGCGTGGCCCGCACGGCTTCGTTCGACGGGCTCGCACAACAAATTTCAGCTAGCGGGAGGCCCTAACTAGCGGCTTGATGCATTGTGGAGGTGGAAGGTATGTGGTGTAAGTTGTGTGATGTCAATTATGTTGTGTAAGCGTTGGGGTGTGAGCTGTACGGTGTGAGCTATGTAGTGCAAGTTGTTTGGTGTGAGCTATGGTGTGTAAGCTATGTGGTGTGAGCTACATGGCGTGAGCCACGTTGTGTGAGCTGTACGGTGTGAGCCACGCTGTGGAAAAAAAGATGTGGTGTGAGCTACGCGATCGAAGCTCAGCATGATAAGCTACCTTGTGTACGCGCTACTGCGCAGGTTATGTGGTGTGGGCTATATGTTGTCAGCTATGTGCTGGGAGCTACGTGTGGCGAGCGAGGCGGTCTACGCCATGGCGTGCACGCTATTTGGTGCAAGCCCAGGGGGCGACCGCGGGGCGCCCACGCTCTGGCACGGGCGCCGAGACGGCGAAGCCTTGGGGAACCCACGCCCGGGCACGGGGCGCCCACGAGGCGCCCACGAGCGGGCACGGGCGCCAGCACGGCGAGAGTCTTCGGGAAGGCCACCCGGCGCACGGGGCGCCCACGAGCCACGAGGGCGCGTTCCCCAAACAAGGTTTGCGTTTAAAAGCTGCCACCTGTCTCCGTCGGCGTTCGCCACTGTGGCGGCCGTGCCCGCTCGTGGGCGCTCCGTGGGCGTTCCGTACACCAAGTGGGCTGTCCCGAGGTTTCGCCGCCGTTCGCGCAGGTGTCCGCTCGTGGGCGCCTCGTGGACGCCGCATACGTTGCACCACATAGCTCACCCTACGTGGCTTTCATCGCATATAGCTTCCACAACATAGATTGCACCGCGTAGGTGAGACCACACTGCTGACACCGCACATCTCACGCGTCGCAGCTTACACCATATGGCCTGCACAACATAGCTCACACCACATACCTCACAACGCATAGCTTACATTGCATAGCTCACGACACACAGGTTACACCGCATATGTTCCACACCTTAGCTCGTACCATACAGCTTACACCGTGCAACGCACACCGCATCACTTACACCGCGCAGCTCACACCACACAGCTCTCACCACATAGCTGTCCCATCTTAACTTACTGATTTCACAGGTTTCACGCCGCATAACTCACACTGCAAAGCTTCGCCTCCACTGGCATAACTCACCGTTTGGGGTCCACACTGGCTGGGATTCGGCGCGCGCAGAAAAATATGGCAGCTCGTCGTTGCGAGAACAATTGTTGTTGACAGCGTTTGCTTGAAACCAACTGAAGCCACCATGGCGTTGCAGGGATGTTGACATGTGCGCGCGTGCGGCTGGCATGTTGTTTTCTGACACGGACTGTGGGAGAATGTGAAAGCAAGCGTTCCGCATAGCATTGTTCGGAGAGGGATGAGGTGGTATGATTTGAAATGGACAACCGTGGAAATTCAATGTGAAAAGCCCACACGCGCAGGGGCCCATCAAGTCTGGCCCCGGCACGGGGGAATGGTCGGCACGCGGTGCAAGTCATGATGCACAATCTACAGGGTACAAGATATGATGTACAAGTTAGGTCTGCGTCCGGAAACGCGAGCCAGCGCACGGGCCGGGCATAATCCTTGCACGAACACCAACCAGCCGAAAGTGCGGAACCGTCATCAAGCGCACGGGGCGAGCACGAGGAGACAGGTAAAAGGCCCTAGTGCAAGCAATGTTTGGGAAACTAAATCAACATAGCCATAGCCATAGCCATCATCATCATCATCATCATCATCATCATCATCATCATCATCATCATCATCATCATTATCATCATCATCAGCATCATCATCAGCATCAGCATCAGCATCAGCACCAGCACCAGCACCATTACCAGCACCATCACCATCACCATGCCCATCCCATCGGCAGGCGCACGCACTCCGGCACCGACGATCTTTAGGAACCGTGGTCTACATTTGCATTAATTGCAGCATCGTCGGCACAGTCTTCGTTACTATGAGTAGCCATTTTGGCCTAGGGGGTATATGGGATCAATCGGTATGGGATAATAGCAGTTGCTTTCAACGCCCAAGGCATTGCTGTGGCTGTCCTTCTGCCATGCGAGTTGTATGCCTATGTGGGGCTCCCTGCGAAGATTTGGACGCGTATCTCTCGCACAGGAATGCCTGTACCGAGTTCGCGGCGCCGTTCTGCTGCAGCTGCGGCTTCACCTGCGGGACAGCGAGCGCACTCGAGCGCCATCAGGAGGCCAGAAGAGCACACGGCCATAAACGCGCGAGGGGTGGCAGCCCAGCGCCGGCGGACATGTACTGCCTGCGGCCGTCCGAAGTTATGGTCGTGTGGTCCTCTGGCCTCCCTGCCGTTGCGCCAAAGGCGGAAGACCTCACGGGCCTCTCTGCGCACCCGCGCCCGAGCCCCCCCAGAGCCAGACGCGGCGCGAGCGAGCGGCAGAGATCCGCCTCCTGCTGCTCGGCCTGGACCGCGCTGGCAAGACGACGATCATGGAGCACCTGTTCCAGGAGCGTCCCTCTGGAGAGTACCCTCTCCTCCTGCTCCCGGGGCTCATTTCGCTTCCTCTGGGTTCGGTTCGATCCGATCTCCATGGCGTCCGATTCCGCTTCGATTCGGCTTCGCATTCCGGTCTGGGTTCCGACGTCTCCATGGAGGCCTCTTGGCCTGCCGATCTCTGCCGATTTGAATTTCTCCCGACTTGGCTGCCGATTGCCGCCGATAGCGGGCCACATGCGAACCCTACCCCTACCCCCCACGATTTCTGAGGGGGAGGGTGGGGTTCACTTCGTTCGGGAGGTCCCAAGCGAAGTTAACCCCACCCTCCCCCTCAGAAGTCGTGGGGGGTAGGGGTAGGGTTCGCATGTGGCCCCCTAGCCGATCCGATCCTGCCTCTTCGAGAAAGAGCACCGAGTTCACCCGAGTGCTCGGAGGTCCGCGCGCCTCTCTCGTGACGGCGCTGGACACCGGGGCGCCGCCTCTGGCGCGCTCGTTGGAGGGACGTCCACAGCGCCGACCCAAGATGGCAGCACGGCCCTCCACCGACATGCCGTCTGCGCAGCAGTCTGTGCCCATCCGTCCTCATCGTCGTCCTCCTGCGCGCCTCAGACTCCTCGCTCCCCTGCCTTCTCCGCCCCCCTCCGCGGCACTGGCAGTGTTCTCTCCTGGGGCGGTAGCATGGGGACTCCCGCCTGGGCCTCGACTCTGGCGGCGGTGGGGGGGGGAGGGCGTGCTAAGAGGCGCGGAGTGGGCGGGCGTTGTGCCCTGAAGCCCGTTGTCCGAGTGAGCAAAATCCGCAGAGGATCTCTTTCAGAGACTCGCGGAGCGTAACAGGAAAGGGCGCGGACCTCCGAAGGCTGAGCTTGTGTTGCTCTGCTTTTATTCTGACAGTCCCGCGGGATTCGTTCGATTCCCCCGACGCCTCTCCAGCCACAACTTGCAGCAGTATAGGCTCGTGTTGAGTCGACGCGGCGAGGGCGTTCAAGGTTGACTGCCGCCAGTGCCCTGAATCGACCGATATCGAGCAATCTTCGCTATCGGGTAGCCGCGATCGCTCGAGGTCGAACGATCCACGCGGTGACGCGGTGTCAGAAGCCGAGGCCGACGTCCTCACGGCACGAGCCTGCCGGGCCCAGGTGAAGTGCGTTCGGCCTTTTCCCCAGAGAGGTACCGGCCCACCGTGGGAGTCAACATGAAGAGCCGCTCCACGGCGGCACCGCCCCTCAACCTGACCGTCACGGAGGTCGGTGGACAGGCGCGCGCCCACTGGGCGCAGTTCCTCGCCGGCCTCGACGCGCTGATCTACGTGGTCGACGTGGGCGACGAGCGGCTGGTGGACCAGAGCTGCTACGAGCTCTT